GGAAGGAGAAAAAGAGGGAAAGCACAGGGGAAAGCTACTAAGGGGAAGCATTATTCACATCCCATGACATCCATGTCTTCAATGCCTTAATTCTACATTAAATTGTCACCAGGCTTTCCTCTCCCTTTAGGAAGATGATTAAGTGAATGAAATCCGTGGCATAGACTTCTCCGGCCAACTCCATCATCTGTTTTCTGTGTGCAACCCTCGGAGAGTCCCAACTTCTCAAAGTCCAGCTTCTCCTAACCGTAAATGAGCTGAATTAGGTCAACTTCCTGGCCCCTTCCAGCACTAACGTTCTCTGCTACCAGAGTCGGTCTCGGGCACAGGTAGCCTAAATGATCACTCATCCCTGGTGAGTAGAATAGAGGCTATTTCTGGTGCCAGTGTTTACAGAACTCAGTAAGAAAGTCCCCAGGAGCTTAAGGGACAGCACATTCTGACTGTTTGTAGAACAAGAAATGTCCACTCAGTGAGGAACAAATTCATTAGCCCAGAGTAATGAACATCGCCCTGTGCCCTAAACTAAAAGGCATATTTTCCCTTAAAATGTGTTATTTTACGACAATATAAAAATGTGCATATATTATTTTAAAAGGGGTAATATTAATTAGCACAAAGAAAAACTGAAAATCATTCACCATCAGAGGTAACCACATTTGAAAAATCCTGACAATCCTTTTTACATGTATACTGCATGTACAGATGAACACACACATATAAATTTTTCCTGTTGACCATACTGTCTTGAAACACAATGTTAAATAGCAATAAAGCATGAATATAGTCCACATTTTCTAAATTCTCCACATCGGTGGTTCTTTTCCTGAGTTCCTTTAGCTAACAGAGGTCAAGAGGGGCAGAACTCCCAGTAGCTAAACAGAGAACTAAGAACACATACGCAAGCTTTTCTTCCTGTTACAAGAAAAGATATGTTTATTGTCCAAATCATTTCAAGGTCAGGCACAACCAGTTACCTTCCAGGTCTCTAGAGAGCTCTGGTGTTTAGAACAATCAAAGCTAGCTGAACAGAATTATAAATCACCACTTAAAAACTGGTCAAATGCTGGTCGAATGTAAAAGGGCCAGTGTTTCTTGCTCTCTGATTTCTGTGATGTAAATGTTATCTTGGTGAGTGGTTTCTGAGCCCTTCCTTCCTCGGGCTCAATTTAAATGCTGCCTGGGGAAAGTCTCAGCTCTTCAGCCTTGCCTAGCCCTGGTCTCTGCAAGAACCCTGGCATCCCAAAGCAATTAGCTGATTCAGGTGACTCTTAGTTCTGTAAGCTTCAACCCTCACAGCAGAACAAAATAGACATCTCACAGCAAAGCAGACTTGAACTTGGCCTTCAGCCCCAGACTCGGGTCCATCTTCTCATCCAAGGCTCACTGCCCATGCAAAACCCTAGTTCCTTACAATGGTCGTCCGGCCATGAGTTCTGGCTAGATTAACCACTTCGCCCATGAAAGCAGCCAATCTTCTCTAGCTGGCCAGTCCTGGTCCCTGGTCACCCACACTTCAACTCCGTCCAAATGCCTATCTGGAAAAGAGCGGGTTCAGGGAAGGTGGAGCCCAGAGGAGCCTGCAAAAGAGACAGTGTGTGCAAGTGAGTACAGGCCCCCTTCCCTGCCTGCCCCTTCTTTCCCACCAAGACTGAAGGCTCCAAGACGCTGCTCAGATCCAAGAAAATCACATGAAGGATGACAACAAACTATTTGGGGATGGAACAGGTGGTTGAGTGGCATCTCAATAGATGAGCTTACTAACCAGGAAGAAACACACCCACATTGGTGGGGGCAATGGGCTGGCATTCCACGAGGGTCAGCAGACAGTCCCCCTTCTGGGCAAGAGGATGTAGAGTCTGTCACAGAGAACCTGCAGAGGGCACAAGCACCTGCATACCTTTGGGTAGAGGAGAACCCCCTGGTTAGCACAAACTACAAAGCTAGAATGGCAAAGCCATGGCAAGGCCCTAAGGGACATTAATGGGTCAGCTGGGCTCATTTTCAATCAGCATGAGCTTATAGGTAAGGACCTGTTAGCAAATCATTGAGATGCAAATAACTTACATATTATGTAAATGCAGCCAAATGTTTTTCTCTAAAAGTTTGTTTTCTTAATTGGCTGTTTCCCCAACAATGTGTTCATGCTATTAATCTGTTCAAGAAACAGGCAGAGTCCTCAGTAATGAATAAAAACCTTTCTCCCAACTTGGGTGTTCTCCAAGGAAAAGCACCCAAGTCATATCAACTCCTATCATGACCAACTTCTGTCCAGGTTTTACTTGCAGGTAGGAAGTAGACATGGAGAGAAAAACATGCAGGCACTACCAGAGCGGCACAGTGATGGCAGTTCTGGGCACATCTGACACTGGTTTGTCAGCTGTTGCTACCTCTCCGTTCGCCAGGTCTGGAAACGTGATTCAGACATAGAGCCACCTGTGTCACTCCTCGCCAGGAGTAACAGAGGCAAGGTACTCCAGCAGTAAGCCCCAGAAATGCCGTGTGCATGTGTGCACATGTGTTGTATGATGGGGAGGAGACAGAATATGCACATATGTGCTCACATAAAGATTATCATCAACATATTTGGCATGAGGTGCTCTGGCAGTGTCTCCCAATCCTCTTCTGGGGACTGTCGATCAAAGCACAGGATGGGCAGTGGGTGTAGGTGGATGACAGGGGCAGGGCAGACCCAGCCTAGGAGCTGGCACGCTGGCTGAAGGCGGCCAGCTCTCCAGCAGGCACAAACCAGGAGACGAGGGAAAGTCCACCGCGGGGTCTCTGGCACTTTCCTCTCTCCCTCCCTCTTAGGGCTTCTCTCTCCCCCTTTTTCTCCAAGGTAACGACGCAGAGGACTCTCCGTGTCACTACGGGGAAAGCAGCAGGGAAGAGCGGTGCTGGGGGAACAGAAACCTGGGCCACAGGCTTTAAAACAGCTGCTTCGCGCCTGTACGACCACTTCCCGATTATGCATATTTGGGGATACCGCTCGATACCCCTGTGCCTCGGTTTCCACATTTGCCAAATGGGGCTGATCATACTGCCCACCCTCTAGGGCTCTTGTGGGGAGTCAATGAGAGCGGGTGTGGGGCCTCCCTGGCCAGCATGCACTGAGCCCTACACAAACCAGGACTGCTGAGCCCTGCGTCGGCAGTCCCGACAATGAACCTGCGTTACACTAACAAACAGAGAAGGAAGGTACACAGCATGTCAGTGCACCCAACCCATTCTTCAATTCAACCCCAGGGGCAGGAGGTCCTTGGCAGAGGAGAAAATTAGATCATGATGGGCTCTGGTGCAGAATTTTCAAGTACCATCAAGTCCCAATTCTCCCTGTCCTGATGCTTCTTAAGAGTCCACAATCATGTTGGCATTTTTGATTTTCAAAAAGGATCACCTGCTGCTAGAGATAACAGAGACTTCCTGTCAACAAAGGGGAGGGCTACTGCCCTTTAAGATCATCTAGTTTGCTTAGGAACACAAAGTAACTTTCTTTTTTTCCTCCCTTTCCTTTTCTTTCATTTTTCTTTAAATAGTAGATTTACTCATCTAATGTAGCTTGCTTTGGTTAAATTAATACTAGTTTGTACTTCCTAAAAAAATGGTACAACCAGGGAGATGGTGATAAAGTAGCTCACTACCACCCCTGAAGTATGCTGATTGATCAGAGAAAACTATGGCAGATACACAGATAGAGAGGTACAGAGATGGTGGATGTGCACACATACATATACACAGATAGTAAGCGATCTGTACACTGTGTATTATATATCTGGTGCCATTTCATTGAGTTACTATATTTCCATTTTCAGGTTTGATATTTTTAAAAACTGCATACGTATATATAGTTTTTAGAAAGTCACTTTGGAAACTGAAACTTAATGGCTTGACAGGTAACTGCTAGGAAGACTAAGCACCAATCCCACTCCCTAGGTTTGACCATGAACACAGGTAAGATGGGAAATGGCCAGGAGGGAAACTGGTTTCTGGAAACCCATCCACCCATCAGAATGCAGCTCCCAGCAAGGGAACATATCTCTTTCTCTACCATTCTCAGTTAAGATTTGGGGGCACAAACCATGTCTTCAGAGGGGGGTTGTCTTCTGTGCAACAGATGGAGTGGGACATGGTGCGGAGATGGCCACACGCCTTGTGGAGAGCTCCGTGTGGACCCCTGGGCTCAGGGACTGCATTCTTGAGCCTCCTGCTCTGAGTTGGAAGCATCGGGTCAGAAGGGAGACTGACAGGCAAAAGTATCTGTACGGCCCGAGGCGGCCTGGAGCTAACGGAGCAGAGCAAAGAACTGCTTCTGAGAGAGCAGGAGTAAAAGACATGGGAAATTAAATGGGGTGGGGCTGATCAGTAAGATCAGCCAGGAGGCAGAGGAGACCCTGCCGGGTGCAATGAGAAGACTTAATGGGGCAGAGCTGAAGCGTCTGCCAGGCAGGCTGCACACTTTCTCCTACTGTTCCTACTAAGACAGCGACGTCCAGGGACACAGAAAGAATGGCATGGTTCCTAGTGGGAAAACCAATGCCCTCCAGTGCAGTTTCTGAGAAGGGGGCGGACTCTGGAACTGAGAGCTCCGCATTCCTTCAGCCTCAGTGAGAAGTAGACAGGCCTTGCTGAAAATGAAGGCTTCAGAAGGTGTGACTCTCTGAGTGATACTTAGATTGTTGATGATCATTAATGCAGAAAAGGAGCAAGGCCACAGGGCTGGCAGATGGGGCGCAGTTACCCTCCCCCATACTGGAGCACTTATTACAAAGAGAGAGGATAGAAGCTGAGGCCACGAGAGTAAGTGGCGGTGACCTGTGAGCAGCAGACGGCAGGAGACCCAACTGAGCCCAGGCCACGGTTAGAGTTTCACAGCAGTTCCCAAACATGCACATGCAAGAATGAATGAATGAATGAATGCATGAATGAATGAATGAATGAATGAATGAAAGAAAGAAAGAAAAAACCCACTTGGGGAGCCTGAGCAAAGCACAGGTTCTTGGGCTCATTTAAGCTGCATATACACTAAAACTGGAAAGATACAGAGATCCGCATGGCCCCTGTGCAAGGATAACACCCAACTCGGTGACGCGTTCTGTATTTTTTAAATAGAAGTCACTCATCAATGAGCATAAAATTTCAGTTCAGCAAGATGAGTGAGATTTAGAAGTCGGCTGTATAACATCGTACACAACCTCTTACACACCTGTTAAGAAGGTAGGCCTCATGTTAATTATTCTTACCATAATAAACATAAAGAAATATCACCTAAATAACTTTTATAAAAATCACGTCAAAAATATTTTAAAGTGCAGATTCTTGGAACTCATGGTAGACCTGGGCAAGGCCCGGAAGTCTGCACATGTGACAGGCACTCTGGGTAACGTAAGTAGAGGAGAGAGAAGGATCCAGAAAAACACAATAAAAACCCATTCAGAATGGACTCCTGAGGTTGTCTGTCTCATCCAGACCACTTGCTGATTGTTTACTGAGATTCTTCACATGGGGGTCTTACCAGCATTTTGCTCATCTTGCACCAAATGGAATACGTCGCCTTCTGCCTAGAATGTGTTCTTCCTTCTTATAACCTGTCTTAGGAGGACAGACTCCACAATCCCCTCCATTTACCACACCAGGAGCATGGGAATGAGTGTCTGTGTAGAAAGCCCACGGAAACTGTTTGGGGAGGACCCACAGACACAAGAGAAACCATGGAGAGACACTGGGTGCGTGAGAGCCAAGGGGAGGTGGCAAGGAGGTACTCTGCCTGTGGGATAACCTGAGACACCTTCCCTCACATGACTACCGAATCCAGGCCGAACAGGTGAGCAGGAACAGAATGATCGACCCAGAAGAGCTGCCTGGCACATTTCTTGAAGTCATTAGAATGCAGCATTTACCCTCCATAAACCACTGAAGTAGCACCTCTCCCACAAAAATCTGTCCCACATTATGCTATTGTAGCCCCCAGTCTGCAGAGAAGCCAGGTCTGGGCTCAGTGGAGCTTGTAGGACTGTCTGTGCCAGAGGCAGGTAGTGGGGTGGGCTACAAATAGCAATGTTACCGCTGCCATAGCAACCCACGATCAACTAGGGATGGGGAAGAAGGTGCTCTGCTTAATTGAAACCCAGGCAACGTTTTAACACAAACCCCAAGGAAGTTAATGCTCCATTAGATTTTCTCCTGTCTTCTTTCTCCCCTTTCTTTTCAAGTCTCCAAGTGGCTTTTAAAGACTTCTCCCCGCCCCCCCCAAAAAAACCACCTGCAAAGATGAGGCTTTTGACAAACCACTGAGCCAAATATCCCTCCCCTGATCCTCACCTCCCCAGACCCAAGCACAGAGCAATTAAGGCCTCCTGTTCTTTCTGTTTGTAGCCTATTCAACTCAAGGAAATGCTGCTTGCCCCTGAAATAGGAATACACTGGCTTCACCATCACCACCTCCCTGTGGCCATCCAAGACAAATATTCTCACTTGGTAATATGACTGAGAATCGCCTGGAAAACGGTAAAAGACAGATGCCCTGGCCCCTTCCCAAGAGAGTTGACTCTGGCAAATCAGAGACAGAGCACAAGCATATGTATGTTTCTTTTCTAGCACCCCAAAAAATCCTGGGGTAAATAGATCGAGACCCACCCTAGAGAAATGTGGACTCACAGACTCGGGCTTTTCCCACAGATGTGTCCTTTACAGGGCTGGGCTCAGCGAAAGCCGGTCCTCAAATGGCCTGCTGCTGCTCACCAACAAGCTGTGGGCTGCAATAGGAGTTAACAGGAGACCCCTACTCCTGCAGCGGGCAGTTCCCTGGCACACGGTTCTGAGTTTCTCTGATGCACACAGAAAACACTTGCTAGGTCCTCATTCTCAAGCCAGGCCTCCTCCGAGGCGCAGGGCAGTATGGGAAAGCAAACATGCTCACAACCCCAAAATGTTCACGACTGAACTCGCCACTTACAAAATTAGCCCCCACTCAAAAACCCGCTTTCTGCCTAACAGCTTAGCCGAAGTCCTATCCCGCCTCTTAAATCAGTCTTGGTGATCACGAACATTTGTTTGCATTTTCATTTTATTGTCAAATTGATGGAAATGTCAAGACATGAGTCTGGAAAAAGATTCAAATTCCAGGAAGGAATTTGAAAAGGTGAATCCCCAGGAAGTGACACTGAAGAATGTTGCCAGGAAGGACCCGGGACACCAGGGCCAGGCACATGACTGAAGAAAAGACGTAAGCACAAATGTTACTGCAAATTTAAATTTCTACTGGAAATATGTCTGTCTCCAGCAAGATTAAAGATTAAGATAAAACCCAAATCTCCCTCCATGAACACTGAGAAAGGATGGAGAAAATAAACACAAAAGGATTCAAAATGCAGAGCTGAGCTTGCAGCAAAGACAGGGGACTAGTATTGATAAAAAGGCAGTAAGTCAGAGCCTAAACACCAGTTCAGGAGCTGCCTGAGGAGAAACATGGGTCCCCTGGGGCAAAGGTGAGGCCTTGGGCCACCACGGCAGGGACATGACATTCTATAAATGTATGATTCATGGAGTGAAATCCAGTGTCCCTGTGGGGAAGGGTAGACTAGAAAGAAAAAAGAAAGCCATCTAGCATTTCAAAGAGACAAAAAGGATAATCATATGTTCCTGCCTAGTCTCTGGAGGAAAAAAAAAACTGTTTGAAGAATAAAAACCATGGGCTTTCACCTTGAACAGGTCAGAGTTCTGAGTCTGTACTTTCTGCGTGCATAAGGAAAATGCCAACCCGAAATGATGCCCACATAAAACCTTGTGCGGATGTTAACGGCAGCTTTAGTCACAATGGCCAAACCCTGGAAGCAACCGCGATGTCCTGCAGTAAGTGAATGGACAAAATGAGCTGTGGTCCATCCAGACAATGGAATATTTTTTAGAACTAAAAAAGAAATGAGCTATTTGGCTATGAAAAGAAATGGAGGAGCCTTAAATGCATATTACTAAGTGAGAAAGAGCAATCTGAAAAGGCTATATATTGTGTGATTTTAAACAAGTGACATTCTGGAAAAGGTAAAACTATGAAAAACGGCAAAAAAATCAGTGATTTCCAGATGGTAGGGCAAGGAAGGAAGGAAGGAAGAGGTGAAGCACAGAGGATTTTCAGAGCAGTGAAAATATTCTGTGTGATACTGTAATGGCGGACACAGGTCACTGTACATTTGTCTACACCCAGACAATATACAACACCAGGAGTGGCCCCTAATGTAAACTATGCACTTTGGGTGATAATGATGTATCAGCTGTAACAAATGTACCACTCCATTGGGGGCTGCTGATAATGGGGAAGGCTATGAATGATTGGGGACAGGGGGTATATAGGGAATCTCTACACCTTCAATTCAATTTTGCTATGAACCTAAAACTGTGCTAAAAATAAAGTCCATTAAAAAACAGTAACTATACTGCTGACTAATTTGGAGGTATCGAATAGAGGTAGAACTGAAATATTAGGAAAATGATAACATGAAAGCTGATGGGAGTGAACTAAGCTAAAGCATTCGAAGGTCCTGAAAGATTGCTGGGAGGAGGTAGGAGATACAGATTAACTTTGAACATCATTAAAGCAACCTTAAAAAAGCTAAGGGCCCTGCCTGGTATAGCTCAGTGGATTGAGCATGGGCTGTAAACCAAAGGGTTGCTGGTTCAATTCCCAGTCAGGGCACATGCCTAGGTTGCAGGCCAGGTCTCCAGTGCAGGCCACATGAGAGGCAACCACACTTTGATGTTTCTCTCCCTCTTTTTCTCCCTCTCTTCCCCCTCTCTAAAAATAAATAAAATCTTAAAAAAAAAAAGTAAATGTAGCCACAAATTGAGTTTAAAACTCCCAAAACTAATAAAAGGTAAGGAAACAGAGGAAGATATAGAAAAGCCAATAAAGCATAAGGAAAGGGAAGAGAATGCACAGTGAACAGACAGAGCAATATAAACCATGGAGCAGTAGTATTACCCTTGGACAAGGCCATCCCAACATCCACAGCACACATTCAAAGTGAGTGGCCTCTGGTGGGTTGAACAAACCGCACATGTACACACGTATACACACATGTGCAAGATTATCTTACTGGTGAAGTCCACCAAGGAGGATCCGAGTATGCCACCCCAAATACACCGTTTGGCGTACGGATTACTTTGGGCTTAAGGCGCCCGAGGAACAGCAGAAACGGAGGAACTCTCTGCCGCTCCCTTTCTGCCTGACAGCGGGGCACACGTTTTCCTTTGTGAAGGTGCCTCTCCTCCCTCCACCAGGAAGAGGAGAATCCAGCCATGACCCGGGACTGCATAACAAGCCTTACTAAATAACCCCTCCCTACCATTAGTTTCTCCTGCATATTTTCTTCGCACAATTTATGGTCCCTAGAAGGCCAAATCTTTTTTTCTTTGTCTAGTCATGTCTTCACAATTTATTTCATTCTACTACAATGGTAATATAAGCTCTGGACCTTCTCTGGGTTTTCATGTCTCTTGTGCGGCACCCTTATGCATGTAAAGTTCAAATGTGTGTGCTTTTCTCCTATTAATCTTTCTTCAGCTTAATTCAGTCTCCAGGCACAGAACATAAAAAAGTTAAGTTTTTTTCCTCCTCCAACTGTCAAATTACCAAGGAACAAATAATCCCAATCCTGTGTTAACTATTCCAGAGAATTAATGGAAGGAAGAGGAGGAAGAGACACAGATAAAGGAGAACTCTCCAACTCTGGATGAGGCTGCTATAACCTTAACATTTAAACCAGAGAAATAAAACGTAAGTGACTATTTTAGGCCATACTCACTTGAGAGCACAGTTACAAACGACTGAGGATTAAAATAAACTACCTTTAGTATCTATCAAAACGTATCTATCAAAAATCTATGGTAAGGAGGGAGGTTGGGTGGGTGGACTGGGATGGGAGTAAAAGACAGAAAACTGTACTTGAACAACAATTAACATTTTTAAAAACCTATGGTAAATACCATATTCATGGTGAAACAGATCTGTTCTTTTCCGCATTCAAGTGAGAGGCAGAATTCTAAAGACAGCACCCAGGATACTCCCCTCCCTGGTGCTCTTGCACAAGCCCTCAGAGTGTGATGACAC